GGCCAATGCCGCCCAGCTGGGCTGAACTCCCCGGGCCTGCTCCAGGCTGGGGTTTGGCTCTTAAGGGGCCAGTACAGGGCAGCTGCCCTGTTACAAGAAGTGAAAGTCCAATCCTAGTGAGATAAATAGAAAGGAACATAAACACTATCAAATCAAGGGTAAAAATGTAATAAGAGAAGCAAAAAAAGATTTTGAGGAACAGCAGCTAGCCAAAAACTCAAAAAGAAATAAAATGTTTTTTAAGTACATTGGAAGCAGGAAGCCTGCTAAAAAACCTGTGGGTCCTCTAGATGATCGAGCTAAAAAAGGAGCAATCAAGGAAGATAAAGCCATTGCAGAGAAACTAAATGATTTCTTTGCTTCAGTCTTCACAGCTGAGGATGTTGGGGAGATTCCTGAATCTGCACCTTCCTTTGTGGGTGATGAATCAGAGGAACTGTCCCGAAGTGCTACATTGTCCTGCATTTTGCTTCAGCTACCCCAGACTAACATGGCTACATCTCTATCACTCAAAAGTCAACATGGTTTCTGTAAAGGGAAATCCTGTTTTACTAATCTGTTAGAGTTCTTTGAAGGGGTTAACAAGCATGCGGATAAGGGGGATCCAGTAGATATAGTATACTTGGATTTTCAGAAAGCCTTTGACAAGGTCCCTCACCAAAGGCTCTTGTGTAAATTACATGGCCATGGGATAAGAGGGAAGGTCCTTTCTTGGATTGAGAACTGGTTAAAAGACAGGAAACAAAGGGTAGGAATAAATGGTAAATTTTCAGATTGGAGAGGGGTAACTAGTGGTGTCCCCTAAGGGTCAGTCCTGGGACCAATCCTTTTCAACTTATTCATAAATGATCTGGAGAAAGGGGTAAGCAGTGAGGTAGTAAAGTTTGCAGATGATACAAATTTGTTTAGGATAGTCAAGACGGAAGCAGACTGTGAGGGACTCCAAGAAGATCTCACCAAACTCAGTGATTGGGCAGCAAAATGGCAAATGAAATTTAATGTGGATAAGTGTAAAGTAATGCACATTGGGAAAAATAACCCCAACTATACGTACAGTATGATGGGGGCTAATTTGGCTATGACAAATCAGGAAAGGGATCTTGGAGTTATTGTGAACAGTTCTCTGAAAACTTCCACGCAGTGTGCAGCGGCGGTCAAAAAGGCAAATAGGATGCTAGGAATTATTAGGAAAGGGATAGAAAATAAGACACAGAATATCTTACTGCCCCTGTATAAAACTCTGGTACGCCCATATCTTGAATACTGTGTACAGACGTGGTCGCCTTACCTCAAAGAAGATATTTTGGCCTTGGAAAGGGTTCAGAAAAGGGCAACTAAAATGATTAGGGGTTTGGAACGGGTCCCATATGAGGAGAGGTTAAAGCGACTGGGACTTTTCAGTTTAGAAAAGAGGAGACTGAGGGGGGATGGGATATAGAGGTCTATAAAATCATGAGTGGTGTGGAGAGGGCCGATAAAGAAAAGTTAAATAGAAGAACTAGAGGACACCAAATGAAATTAATGGGTAGCAGGTTTAAAACGAATAAAAGAAAGTTCTTCACATTGTGTAGTCAACCTGTGGAACTCTTTGCCAGAGGAGGCTGTGAACTCTAGGAATATAATAGAGTTTAAAGAGAAGCTAGACAATTTCATGAAGGTTAGGTCCATAAAAGGCTTTTAGCCAGGGGATAAAATGGTGTCCTTGGCCTCTGTTTGTCAGAGGCTGGAGAGAGATGGCAGGAGACAAATCGCTTGATCGTTGTCTTCGGTCCACCCTCTCTGGGGCACCTGGTGGTGGCCACTGTCGGTAGACAGGATACTGGGCTAGAAGGACCTTTGGTCTGACCCAGTACGGCTGTTCTTATGTAAGTCCTGGCCAGCAGGTTTCTCAGCCTCACAGCTGGCTGCCCCAAGCGGTCTACCAGGGCATGAAAGGCAGGGAGCCTGGCTATGTGCATCTGAACAGCTGGGAGCCTGATGGGAGGTACTTCACACACTGTCTGTTCAACCAGGCAGCTCCCATTGGCCAATGGGAGCTGTGATTGTGTTGGTGGGTGAGGAGAAATGGCCAGTGTGCAAAAGCTCTCCATTCCTCTTCTCTCCCTTCACCTGGACAAACAGAACCCCTCAGCTGGTTTTTGAGTGATGTGCAGGTGTGGAACAGGCAGGGAGCCTGGCTGAGGCTCCTGATGTGTCCACAGGCCAGATCCAGTGGCTTGGCAGGCAGGATTTGGCTTGTGGGCCACATTTTGCCTGGCCTTGGTAGTGGCTTGCTTTCCATTTATTCAAGCTGTTTCCCCAGACTTTGTCGTATGTCTATCACTATACCATAGGATGGATGGATACCTCCGTATGAGATTTGCAATTAAAGGTAGACACTAAAGTGCTTGCCTGGCTAGGTACAACTTTGAATTTCTTGCATCACCTAAAGAGAACGAAGATCCTTATAGCACTCAACCACTTTACAAGTCATTAGTAATGTTTCCATTACTAACATCGCTGAAGACCAAACAAATCGTCCTTTTGAGGTCCTGAACTTGTCCATGCACCATTTTTAAAATCTTCTCCCAAAAGCATTTTTAGTACTGACACTAACCATAAAATAGTTTGTAGCAGCTATTTTTTCTGAACTGCCTTTTCTTGGTTAGATTGTGTAGTAAAAATGAAAGCAGAAAAACTGTGTGGTTAGCTGTACAGAACTTGTTTCCCAACTGAAAATTCTCTCTCGTGGTGATAGGAATCTCAGTAGCGACATTAGCACAACAACGAATATCTCTGCACTAGGATTTGGGTTTCAGTGAGTTGGATAAAAGCAGACTATTTCCAGCAATAACTAATATCTAAAGTTCTTACTGTGATGCTTAACATCTGGTATCTGAGGATCAGGGGGCTTCCCTAAAGCACTGAACTCTAGGGCTGAAGTCCAAGATGACAGACTCTGGCTGGGGTGGAGGAAGGAGGGGAAACTTATGTAGCCCCTGTGCCTTAAATTCCTGTTTCTAATAACAGGTGAACTCTCCCACACTTAGACAGGAAATGCTTCAGGGCACGAATTCTAACCTACTAAGGAATATGTTGGGGTGCCACACAATTAGGCTCTGAACTTAGTTGGAGTCTTTAGGTGCTATTGTAGTATAAATGGTGAGGTATTGAACAGTTAAGCAAAATCTTAAGTAAAACATACTTTTTTCCAGGTATTTAAGGTGAATGCACCTCTGCCACCTCGTAAAGAGCAGGAAATAAAAGATGACTCCTCGTATACTGCAGGATATAACCAGAGTTTTTCAACAGCAAGTACACAAACGCCTCCTCAATGCCACTTACCGTCCACGCATGTTGTAGAGCAAAATTCTCTTTCACAAGAAACTTTGCCAACAGGTGAGATTTTTTGCATAGCTATCTTACGTGCCACTCTAGCTGAAATGCCTATCAAATTGACACTTCACTCCATTAGTCCAGAGGTTCAACAGCCAGTACATGGACTGGCAGCCCTGCTGCCTGTTGGAGAAGAACTGTGTGAGTGGCGCAGTGGGCGGGTGCTCTGGGAGTCTGTGGTGGGCCTGCATCTGCTTGCTGCCCACACAGCGTGGGGCGCAAGGAATGGGGGCAGGGAGGTGTGTCATGCCTCCCAGCCCTGGGGAAGATGCCACCTGAGGTGTGGCACAGGCCACATCAGGAGATCCAGAGCAGCAGCACTATCCAGCCATAAAGCACATGCTTGGAACAGGATTCCTTCAAATGATGTCCCCATGAGTGCTCCACTGTTGGTGTCAGGCTCATCCAAGTGCCACAGATTTCAAGCAGTGTCCAGTCAGGCTGTGCATGGGTGAGAGGCGCACAGTGTTCCTGCCTTTGAAGTTAGTGCGCGCTGCCCACCTCTTCTGTTCCTCCTTCGCTGCCTTCCTGCTGTATTTGTTTGTAACTTTTGAAATGGGTTCAACTGCTTTGAGCAGCTGTGCTGTACAGATGGTATATTAATATTGTACCTGTAATATTACTAGTGTTATCTCCATCTACCCTCAGAACTTACATTTCTATAGAAAATAGAGGCTTCTAGCTTCAGGATGAAGCATGTATTTTCCTTCTTTTTGGAACAAGTGTTTGACTCTTGTAGCATACATGTTTGGAGAACTCTTCAATTACTCTGATGTAGTTAGGCCCTGGGAGCAGTGGAGAGGGGAGAGCTATTTTTTGCTCTGAATTGCCACTGCTTCAGAGGGATTTGAGCTAGGGATGTAAATGGGGAAACTGGTTAACCAGGTATCACAGGCCTGGGCAAAATACCCTCTGCAGGCTGGATCTTGCCTGTGAAGCAACCAGATCCAGCCCATGGATGCGGCAGGGAGCCTCTAGCAGACTCCCTGTTTGCTCCACCCCTATGCACTGCTGAGAAAAGTGGCTATTGGGAACTTGGCGGGCTCTGTATGAACATCCCCCACATAATCCTATTGGCCAGTTTTTGGCCAGTGGGAGCTGCCTGTTAATAGGCAGCTTGTGAAGCACCCTCCCCACCCTGGCTTATAGCTATTCAAAAACCACATGTTCCCTGCAGCTTGAGAAGGCTTCTGGTTGGGAGTCAGGTAAGTCTCTCCCAGTCAGAACCTGTCTCTAGCACCCTAGCTCTCAGTCCCCTAACCCATGTTACCCAAATCCTCTGCCCCATATCCTATTCTAGATCCTGCACCCCAGTCTCCTGCCCCAAGTCTCAACCTCCTGCCCTTGGTCACAGGCCAAATCTCTCCACCCTTTCCTGCACCCTAGTCTCCTTCCCCAGATCACAAACACCTCTTGCCCAAGTTCACAACCCAGACCCCTGCACCCTAGTTTCCTAATCCAGGTCACAATTGCCTCCTTCACCAAACTCCCTCCCAGACCCCACACCCTTTTGTGCAACCCAATCCCTTACTATAAGCTCCTTATTGCACCCAGTCTCCATCACAGACCCTACATGTCCTCCATTAAAATGGAAGAGTGCAGCCTTTGACCAAATTCTTGGAGTGGCCCCTAATCAAATTTATTGCCCATCCCGAGCTATCCAGTAAGCATTGGTCATACCAGTTAAGAGCTGCTCTGGCCGAGTGCCAGTTAGCAGCTGGGCACCATGGTTAAGTGTAACAATTTCTGTTACAGTTAATATTTTTAAAATCCCTAATTTGATGTATGGGGATTGATCACTGCCCCCTGCTAGAAGTGCAAGTTCTGATGGTGATGCTGGTGTGGCTAGCATTGAGAGAGTACTTGCAGGTAAATTGTTCTTTGGGCATTGTTTTTCATTTTTTGGCTCTGGGTTCCATTCTGTTAGCATTGAGCTGGTAGATCTCATACTAAAGCAATCACTTTATGTTCTTCTTAATTCACATTCATTTTGAGTGTACAGAGACTTATCTAGTCCTTAATTTAAACCACACAGTACTAACTAGCAATGATAACACTAAAAGTTACTCAGCACCAAGTACTGTATGCCCTAATGATATTAGAGAAGGTAAACAGGAAAGCCTTTTAAGAACTCTAACTTAAATGTTGCAGCTTTTCCCACCGTTTACATTTCACTTTCATGGAAGGATACATGGAAAAACAAAATTACTTGATCCATGTTATGAAAACTGTGTTCCTTTAAAAAAAAAAAATTCCCATAAACTTAAGGCTTTTTTCTTGGAGATAAAAGTAACAATTCTCTGTATTGTGTTTAAGTTGTAATTAAGAAGGAGGTTCTCAGTCCATGGCTGGATCTTCTAGCAAGCCCCAATCCAGTCCAAGTCAAATCTGAGCCTAAAGATTTTTAAATTTCAGACCTAAACAGAAGCATGACTAGGTGCAAAGGCAAATCAGGAGCCTGTTGCTTAGGAAATCAACACTGCTGATTTGTCGGTTTATAAATAAGTCATTCAAACCTTGCATTCAGATAAGCTTATTCAGTTGCCTTTGACCTCTGAGATACTATGTTCAGCCAAGGGCAGAGCTTTGTTCTTAATCCTGTCTGAAACAGGGATATCCCAACCTGACAGTCTTGTCTATTTTGAAAAGTAGAAATCTTGACAATCTTATTGGGGTTTTATAGAAAAGGCATCTATCAAGGCTCAAGACACTCCTGCATACATTACAAAAAGTTAGAATATACAACTTCCTCACCCATAAATTTGATTCCCTTTAGAATAAGGGTGGGGAATCTTAGGCCCTGAGGCCAGATGCAGTGCTTGGATCTGGCCTTCAGGGCTCTTCTTACCCCCAGCATTGGGGAGCCTACGCTGGCACTCCAGCCCCCCTTGGTCCCTGCTCAACTGATTTTTAAGCAGGGTGGGAGGGTTTGCTCAATTGCAGCCCAATTGTGCTGGAGCACTACCTTTCCCTAACTATAGACGGGCTGCTCCAGCCTGGCTGGAGTACCCCTGCCTACAGTGGCCCCTTTTAAAGAGCTAGGCTTGATGGTTAACGGTTAACATCCCTACGGGGAATACAACCTTCATCAGAGGAGGTTAGTAGAGACAGCCAGATGTGGTGCACCCAGTCTCAGAAACATCACCTCACTCTAATTTGGACTGAGCATCAGACAACTAGCTCTCACTTGTGAGCCAGAAATATTCATAGTGTAGTATGAGTCCAGCAGCCACAGTACATTTATTTTTTAGTTTTGCCACCTAACAGCAGGACTGTGCTGGCTTAAAACATTGAATAAACTTGCAAATGTCAATATAGACTCAGTTTGCCATGGCTTATCACAGGAGGAGTATATAGCGAGACACTTTAAACAGACCTGGTTTGAATCTGTCCAGAACAGGGTCAACCAGATTCTTTTGGGAAGTGGAGGGGTTTGATAGTGATACTACTTGTAACAATGTCTGCCTTGTGCATCAGTTGTGTTCAGTGGTGAATTGTACAGAAACTTCTTGTAGGAAATGAGGAACATTTTTTTCTTACTACAGGAAATTCTGTAAATTGTAGTGGATTTAGAATTTTGATCAGTGATTTCAATGCTGAAATAACTTACAGGTATAATTCACGGAACTGTCTAACCTGTTAATTTTCTTAAACAGTTAATTATCAATCTGATGGAGCTGTTCCTGTAAGCAATGGAAGCCTCGCCTTTTATCCAGCACAGACTGTTTTCCCAAGACCCACTCAGCCGTATCTGAATAGTCGTGGATCTGTTAGAGGATCTGCAAGAGGTGGGAGATCACTGACCAATTCCTATCGCTCTCCTGGTGGATACAAAGGTATACTTGCACATATTTCACCAGTGCCCTGTGAATAGATCAGTTCTAGCTATGAGGGGATATTTCCATGAATGAACCCGAAGAGCTAATAGCATTGAAATTGGAAGTGTAACATCATATATGAAACACAAAATACTCCTCTGCCAATTTCTATAAAATGCTGAATAAACCATGTGGTGCTTCAGTGACTTCATGCCTGTTGGAGCAAAGGCACTCTAGTCCCTCAAGTCTCTTCTGGACCCCTCTTGACACTTCTAAAACAGGAATACTTTGAACTGGGAGAGGGGAGAACTGGAAGGAGAGGGCTTGGGAGGAGGGTGCAGTTCTAGTCAATGTACCACATTTGACAATTCTGCTATAGAGCATGGTCCTACAGTTTGACGAGGTGGGTTTCATTCAATCTAAGTTTATAAAAAGGTAACGCTTCTATCAAGTTGAGTCTGAATCCTCATTTTCTAAAAGCAAGTCATCTTGACTACCCTGACACTTTTCTTCATTTTCTGTTAGTTGCTGCTACTGCTTTGATTTTTGCTGGTACTGGTAGCTTACTGTGTTCACACTATAACTACAAATGGCCTCTTGTAGTAGCAAGAGCTAAAATGAGTAAATTTCCATGTAAATTTGTCACTAGTTTGATTACAATAGTTTTCTTTTTTGGCAAAGTAGAGCAATCATAGAACCATAGAACTGGAAGAGACCTCAAGGTCATCAAGTCCAGCCCCTGCTCTAGGCAGGACCAATTCCAACTAAATCAACCCGGCCAGGGCTTTGTCAAGCAGAGACTTAAACACCTCTAGGGATGGAGACTCCACTACTTCCCTAGGTAACCCATTCCAGTGCTTCACCACCCTCCTAGTGAAATAGTTTTTCCTAATATCCAACCTGGACCTCTCCCACCACAACTTGAGACCATTGCTCCTTGTTCTGCCATCTGTCACTACTGAGAACAGCCTCTCTCCATCCTCTTTGGACCCTCCCTTCAGGAAGTTGAAGGCTGCTATCAAATCCCCCCTCACTCTTCGCTTCTGCAGACTAAACAGACCCAAGTCCCTCAGCCTCTCCGCATAAGCCATATGCTCCAGCCCCCTAATCATTTTGGTTGCCCTCTGCTGAACCCTCTCCAATGCGTCCACAACCTTTTTGTAGTGGGGGGGGCCCAGAACTGGACACACTACTCCAGATGTGGCCTCACCAAAACCAAATACAGGGGAATAATGACATCTCTGGATCTGCTGGCAGTGCTCCTCTTAATGCATCCTAATATGCCATTAGCCTTCTTTGCTACAAGGGCACACTGTTGACTCATATGCAGCTTCTCATCCACTGGAACCCCCAGGTCCTTTTCTGCAGAACTACTACTTAACCAGTTGGTCCCCAGCTTGTAACTATGCTTGGGATTCTTCCGTCCCAAGTGCAGGACTCTACGCTTGTCCTTGTTGAACCTCATCAGATTTCTTGTGGCCCGATCCTCCAATTTGTTTAAGCATTTGGGCTTAAAATCTGACATCTCTGAAAGGCATTGCTTTAAAGTTCTGCATCTTATGCAAGCCACGTACTTAGTCACTCTTATGACAGAGCCATTTGAATTAATACTTAATATCACTCTCTTGTGTCTGGGTGCTGTTTTTGTAAGTTCAGAAAGAACGTCATTAATGTAATGTCAGGTTCTTGCAGACATCTACCATGTTCAGAATAAATGAGTTCTAATAAAATACTGTTAATGAGCTATAAATTTAGATGTCTGATTGCCATGCTTGTGAATTGCGCACACACAGCCTCTCTGAAATGGAATAAATTGTACTTGTACACATTTTGTAAACTTTTTTAATCGATGCTGAAAATTCCCAAAGGGAAATTCTTATTTGAATGCGGGCAATAACTGACTGACATTTTAATTTTATTTCAAGCAGGTTTTGATGCTTATAGAGGATCCCCATCAATACCTAATGGCAACTATGGCCAGATGCAGTTTCCTAATAGAGATTACCCTGGAATGTCATATTCTCAAAGGGTGAGGATTTATTTTCTTGTAGCTTTCATGTGTCCTGTTTTGTGGGATGATAAGTTTTTTGGCTACAAACTAGGAAGTAAGTTCAAATTTCATAATACAAAAGTTGATACAGCACACAGTGCTATTTTTAAGTTGACTGGTGTTTCAGAGAGCTCTAAGTTCTTTAGTTGGTAGAAATCAGATTATTTTATTTTTTATATTATATATATAAAAAAAAATCTTGGTTGATAGCTGGGTTTAGACCTGAAGCTTGCCTCTGACAAAACACAAACAGGATACTGTAGAGAACTTTTTTAGACATAAGGATAGTATACATTGAATGCTTTGTTCTCTCCTAGCGGGTTAGCTGCTGTTGTCATAAAAATTATTAATCAAGATTTTGCTCATTTCACATCCTTTGGGAGGAGGAAAACCTGCTTATTTCCATTTTTCAGAAGGTTGCATTTAGTGATATAAACCATGAACGGGTTACCTTATCATATGATGCTTACAGTTAATAGGCACCTCACCTGACCAAGGTGGAGCTGACCCTTGGCTGGCAGCATACTATGGACAAAGGGCTGTTACTTCGATGGACCCAGCTGACCTGTGCAGTGCCAGGCAGGGGCTGCTTCTGCCCACCTGGGCCCACTGTGGGTGCTGCCAGGTGGCCTGGTTAAGCTATAGGTTTAACTGGTTAAATGTTTTAAATGTGACTTTTATATTCCTAGTTGCATTAGATAGCCACTCTGACAGTTTACCACAGGCATCTATTGTCCTCAGCGTTGTATGTAGGAAAACAATAGTTTGGACTGTAGAGCCCTTAATGTCATCTTAATTCTAGCTAGTGTTTCCCAATGCCTCTTACTTTACTCTGGATTGGGAAAGCAAGTTGGCTGATGTTCAAAGTAGGTAGGGCTGGTGGATTTACTGCATGCATGTGCTCCCTGTGTTGGGAGTTCTGCCTACCCCAGCAGTATCTTCTCTACTTCTGGGTTCCTGTGAGCACTAGTAGCCGAGCCCTTAATGTCATCTTAATTCTAGCTAGTGTTTCCCAATGCCTCTTACTTTACTCTGGATTGGGAAAGCAAGTTGGCTGATGTTCAAAGTAGGTAGGGCTGGTGGATTTACTGCATGCATGTGCTCCCTGTGTTGGGAGTTCTGCCTACCCCAGCAGTATCTTCTCTACTTCTGGGTTCCTGTGAGCACTAGTAGCCAGTACTAAGCTCCGATTCGCGGCGCCGGGACCAGCCCGACGCCAGACGTGGAGCACCCACGGGGACACACCTCAAAGAACCATCGTTACTGCACCAAAGGTGAGTAACCTCTTCTTCCTCTTGGTAACAGACTACCCAACTATTTGTTTCGTTATATTGAGATGGGATTATTGGAGTATGATATACCGGGGGCTACCACTGATTGAATGGTCATATTAAATAGCACTACTCATATGGAGTTTTTTCAAATGACACTAGTTTGACTTACACTGAACTGCAAATAGAAATACTATAATCAATTTTAAATCCTCATGTGGTTTGAATCCTGGCTAATTAGAAGTTATTCAAACTCCTGATGTCTGGGATGCTCAGGCTAACATGACAAGGGGGGTTTGCTGAAGGTGCATAGTGGTAAATAAGAGGCTCCTGTGCTCTGAAATGTGTTCTTTTTTTCTAACTGGTTCAGCACTTGTGTTAAGTTTCAAGACTACAGCAGTATCTAAGGAAGGAGAATGAATGGCTGGAATTCCACAAATAGGAAGTTGATCAATATTGATGTAGTCTCTGGACATACAGAAAGCAATTAATTATCATATTTTGTACATCAAAAATAAAAATTCTCCATCATATACTGATTAACTCTCTAAGCAAACTAAGTGTACTAGAGTGAATAGCCTGAATTACAGAATGCTAACTTTCTGTTTGGCAGTTATATTCATAATACTCCTGTTTTAACTAATCTAGTACTTTTGTTTCTTACAGGATGTTAATTACCAGCAGTGCTATAAACGAGGAGGAGTAACGAGTGGTCCTCGAGCAAACTCAAGAGGTAGGACTAACGTGATATCCTCAACCATGTACATAAAATATTGAAATACAATTATATTCTGAATAGTAATGGTGAAGGCATTGGGGTTGCAAATAACTTAGATCAATCTTCTGCTGTTTCCAAGTGTAAATCCTTTTCAAATTGAGCAGTAAACTTTGGGATCTCCAATTTAAGTCCTTCCTAGTTGTTAAAACACTGCAAGTACTAAAGATTTGGCCATTAGAATAGTTAATTAGATCTGTCAGAATTAGTCTCCCATAGCTCCAAGTCTGCAGCATGAACAGAAGTAGAGAAAATTTAGTAATATGAACAGAGATATACACAGGGTGTGAATCTTGCATCCTGTATCTGGTAGCTAATGCTATTTCACTTAAGTCTTTAGCCAGCTAAGTATATATAGCTACTCCTCTTATTTTAACCCTTGTCTATAGGTAACCTATCTATCTAGCGAATATATGGGTTCCAAAAACTTGGGGCAAGGTTACACTTATGTCTAATAGGTTTCAGTATGAAGCTGTTATATTGTAGAGGCAGCATAACTTCCAGGTTGGAATATAATCACTAAAGAGATCTTGAAATTACTGATATTGAAATCTGAGTACTAATAGCATATTATGTATCAGAAAAATTGCCAATTAAGACATTATGGAGTGTGGGGAAAATTAGCCTCCTATGAGTGTAAAAGAGGGTCTGTGGTTTATTGCTCAGCATAGAATAAGTAAGGGAGTGAGTTGCAAACCAAAACCTTAACTTGTTTACTTTTTAAAACAAAATTTTGGTTTTAAAGTTACAGGAAAGCCAATCTTGTGTCAGCAACTTTTAGTACTAAGATCTGATCACGAAATTTTTAAGAGTTCTTGTGTTTTAGGTTACAGACGAGAAAATAGACAGGAGGAAAATTGCTCATCAGTTAGAACTCGAGGTGTAACACATGGTAGAGAGTACTTCAGAAGAAGGGAACTGAGCAAACCAGATGACTGACTGAGAAGTGAAGAGTCTAAAACAATCTCGTAGCAGAGGACAGACAGATAATACTTCAGTCAGTTACCAATGGAGTTGATATAACTTTGTGTTTCTCTATTACATATACTAATGTTTTAAGGTCTGTTTGTAGGAAAAACAGAACTTGCCTTGAACATTTGAGGTGACTTCAGTTTAAGATACCCACTAATATTATTTTAATGGAATGTTGTAGTAGTGTACTTCATCTAAAAACTCGGGCACTTGAATGAACCGTTAATGTAGCTTTTTACTTTTTTGTGGTGGGGGGTAGAAAGCCACTTGAAAATGGCTCAATTCAGATTAAGGCATTAATGACCTTGATAGTAGTACTCCATTCCTTATTGTCTAGAGTAAGCAGTCAGGACACAGTAAGACTGCTTTCAGATTATTGAACCTAACTTAGCTTTCATATCTCCTGAAAGCTTGAGGTGCTTCTGAAACCTTAAACCTCCAATTGGTCACCATAAGACCTTCAGCTAATCAGTAAAAATAAACACCCCTACTGACAATCTTAGAGTTGGTGTGGTCTTTGGAATTAGACATACATGACACACAGTTCAGCTAAAGCTGTATGTATAGCTGCAGTCATATATCCTTTAGGATGTGGAGAAAGAATAGTGACAATGAAGAATCTTTTATTTTGCAAGGTAGTTTTGACAATGAATAAAGTTGTTTGTTCTCACAAGGCTCCTTTGACTATTATTTTAGTAATTGCAGTATGCTTACATATATATATATATATATATATATATACAATAAACCTGCATGCAAAAAACCCCATAAACTTTCAGGTCTTAACCTTAAACCTGTACTTTGAAATATCATTCTGTCCAATTCTAAGAATCATTTATTGTTGCTAATGATCTTTAACAGCAGGATGGAGTGATTCTTCTCAGGTGAGCAGTCCAGAACGAGACAATGAAACCTTTAACAGTGGGGACTCTGGGCAGGGAGACTCGCGCAGCATCACCCCTGTTGATATGCCGGTGACAAGCCAAGCTGCTACCATACTACCAGTGCACGTTTATCCCCTCCCACAGCAGATGAGAGTTGCCTTTTCTGCTGCTAGAACATCTAACTTGGCCCCTGGAACTCTAGATCAGCCCATCGTATTTGACCTTCTGCTGAATAACCTTGGAGAAACTTTTGATATTCAGCTTGGTAGGTTTAATTGTCCAGTGAATGGAACCTATGTCTTCATCTTCCACATGCTGAAGCTAGCGGTGAATGTTCCACTATATGTAAACCTTATGAAGAATGAAGAAGTCCTTGTGTCTGCATATGCTAATGATGGGGCTCCAGACCATGAAACAGCTAGCAACCATGCTGTCCTACAGCTTTTCCAAGGGGACCAGATCTGGTTACGTCTGCATCGGGGTGCTATCTATGGAAGTAGCTGGAAATACTCTACCTTTTCAGGGTACCTCCTGTATCAAGACTGAAATCAGTACAATGTTTACAAAAGCTGTTCCAAACAAATTGGTGGAGGGGGGGGGGAGAGGAAGAAGTAGCTTTGCACTTAATACCAATTTCATAGAAATATGGTTCCATTATGTGGGAGATGGTGGTCCTGTTTGCTAGGTGAAATCCTGGATTCGGTTTCTGAATCAGCACTAATTTGGCACTTTATCAATTGTGATGTAGCCTTGCTAGTTAAGCTGTGAATGTATATTATTTGCACTTATCCTTTAACTGTATTAATGTCCAGCTTACTACACTACTGATATAATTGCCTCGAAGTATGGGCTATTCACAATGCCTTGTTGTGCCTCAATAAAACAAATTAATATGCATTTTAGTATTAATCTTGATAGTGGTTTTTATTGATAAAATTCCTAGCCAAAAACCTGGTCTAGCTTGTGGTATGAAGTATATTGCATTTTTAACAGGAAAATGTAGTCTTTACCCTGAATTTTAAGAAATGGTGAATTTTTTAAGATAAGACCATTGTTTCTTCCTCTTGTCAATGATGTGTTTTCAGGATTTTTGTCCTTTCCAGTGCTAAATGAATCAATGAGAGGGCTTGCTTACTACTGTTACTGGTATTGTTAGATGTTTCAGTTAAGAACTTGCTCCTGATTCACTGTTACCTTTTCTTACATGTACCTTATTTTAAATGTCCCAGGTACTCTAGCTATCTTTCTATGCTTTTCCATGGATGTTCACTTCATCCTTTTCAGTTTACAGCCAGTTAATACACTGCCTAGTCTTAATTTTAAAGCAGTTCCTCCTGACCTCCATCACTTCTGCATATTCCTCGTATTGAAAGCACTGGTTAAGTGCTGTGTAGAGGATTTCGTATATAACCCAAAATCACACTTGAGTTGGCAGCACGTTTGGGCTTTCTTAAAGCTCTTGACCGTCTCCAAGGTTATTTGGTAAGATTGCTTTTAAATCTTGCTAAGTGTACAGTACTTGGATGTCTTTCAGTTCAGATGGAAAAGTGTAAACTGAAAGGTATCTCAGGATCTTTCCCACTTGCATCTAAAATTTCATAATGCTTAATATGCAAATCTAATTCCTTCTTTAGCTTAAGTTAATTTGGTCTCACTTATCCCTGTAGCAGTTCATTAGGTAGCTTTTTAGTGTAATATTACTGTATATCAAAGGTGTTCAACCAGTGCTCCATCTGCATTGGTTGCTCATGTCAAGTTAACTAAAGTATTTAAGTACAGTCTAAACTGGGGTTGTGCAAGATGTTGCTCAGGAGCCGGGGCCAGCCCACCTAATGCTTTGATCTGGCCTAGAGATGTTAAGTTTAATTGGTTAATCGAATAGTCAATGCAAATTGCATCGACTATTTGATTAGTTGATAAGGGTGCTTCTGCCTTAAGTGTGGCAACAGCCCCGGGCTGTCTCACTTCAAAGGTGAAAGGGCTGCGGGGAGTACAGGGCCAGTGGGGGACTCAAGCAGTCCCCCACCGGTCCCATGCTCCCTGTGTTTCAAAGCAGCAGTGGAGTCCCCAGCTGGCCCTGTGCTGCATGCAGCACTGCCACTTTGAAACACCCCCTCTGCCAGAAAGTGGCAGTGAGGGGGAGAGGAAGAGGCAGCAATGGGTGGGAAGTGTGACTAGTTCACATCTCTAATCTGGACAATTTCTATTTATATCCTGCTGCCTGTGCCACTAGATTTCTAAGCAGTGGTTCAGGCAGCAGGATCTTATTTATATAGTTCACTGCCCCCAGTCACAGCACTACCTCAGCAGGGGCTGGAGCTGTGAGCCCTTTAAATAGCCACAGCAACCCCAGGCAGCTGCCAGGCAATGCAGTAGTGGCAGAGCCGTGAGCCCTTTGTGGTTTGAGTTCAAACCCTCCAGCCACAGACAATCCAGGATTCTCTGGTCCAGCGACTGTCTGGCTGGACCAGAGAACCCTTGCTGGCTAGCTTCAGGGGCTGGGCCAGAAGGATGGGGAGTGTGGGGGCAACAGGATGGGGAGCCTTGACCCCTCTGGTCCGACAAACTCTGTGGATCCAGGACCACTCAGATACCAACAGTGCCAGACCAAGGAGGTCCAACCAGTACATTTCTAATGCAATGCTTAAAGTGCAATGTAAAGTCTACACCAAATTACAGACTATTTAATACAGCATTTATCCAAAGTAGGCCATATGGAAAGATTTCTGTTCTAACTGAAGCTTCATGGTCTGTTTTCTTTGATTCCAGTGAGGATCTTTGACCCAATTGAGATGTAAAATATGCAGCTTGGTATGTGTATTTAAGGGACAAGCTCTACAATTTATAGAGCAATAAAAGCAGCTGTTACCCATTTTTAATTGGCTCTGGGGGGAAAATATAAGTTCAGTAAGCAAACATGGAAAGACTGGTACTCTTCTTTCATAACTGTTGCTTGTATTCTGGTTAGGTGTGCATGTGTCACATGCATGGTTGTTAGAAAGCTAGTGGCTACCTAGTGAGTAGCCTTGTGACTACCTGTCAGGCTGGTTGAGTCCCCTGGAATGGTGCTAGTGTGCCACACTGTGTATGACCCTGCCAAGCTAACTGCCTCTCAGTTCCTTCTGGCTGGCTACTCCAACAGAGGGAAAGGACGGTGGGTATAGAATAGATATGAGCAACACATCTCAAAGCAGGGTGAGGGCACAGTTGGGCCATTGTTATTATGGAAAACTGTCTATGGGGGCTCCAACATTAGGGCATAGAGCTCAGACACCCATTGGGCAGAGGTGATGGCAACCAGAAAAGCCACTTGCTCCTTTCTATACCTTTCATGACATGTGGCCCATGAATGCTGCAAGGACTAAGTTGATACCATGTGCGGGCAGAGGGGCAGGTGGAGTCCTTCAGTAGTCTTAAGGATGTGTCTGACTGGAGGACTTGTGAAACCAGTGACCTGCTTCTCCCAGATGGAAAGCAGAAATAACTGTCAGGTGCACCTTCCGCAATGAAGTTGCCAGACCTTGTTGCTTTAGACACCAGGTACTAGGACACCTAGGAAATAGAAGTAGACAAGGGGCACCGATGTTGAGAGAACCAACAAGAAAACCACGTTCTTTTCACAAAGTGAGTCAATGGACTTTCTGCTGCTGAGAAGGTTGATGGGATGGTGGGATATTTGACCCTGTTCCACTCCCTCCAGATCATTCTGCCCATCCCTCTTCAGGGTCCACCTCATGAGCAGCCCTTCAGAAGGTCAGCATCTGTGCTAAGGGAATACACTTCAGTGAGCAGAAGCATTTATGCTTATTGTCACTCCCTTCCCTCCCCCCCCCCCCCCCCCAGCCTTGAGTCCTGTGTCTGTCTAGTTTCTTTCCTACCTTGCTTCCTTGGCGAGAACGTCTTGATCTCACCCTTTTAGATTCTCCATCCCAAACTACAGCCAGTTTCAACTTCCATTGTTTTCTTGTCACTCTCATCCTTGCATCTTGGCTTCTAGTCCTCCCCATTTTTTCACTGCTCCATCCTCGCTCATATTGGCGTGTGGACCCCCAGCTCCTTAGCCCAGTCTCTTCAAGCAAATCCCAGTTCCTCCTTCACACCCAGCTCATCAGATCTGGTGACTGTATCTCCTCCCCTGCCCCACTGCTTCAGTCCTCTCCTCTTCAGTCCTGGTTTCTCCCTGACTCATCCTATCCTCCCCCCGACTTATGAACTCAGTCCATCACCTTATTTTTCTTCTCCTACAGTTCTAGTCTACTGGGCTATTTAGTCCTATTCTCCCAGTCACCCAGTCTCTCCCTTTTACAAACACACCTTCCATTAGCTTCTAATCTCCATTCTGGGGCTCCTCATCCCATTCTACTTGTAAATCTGACTGGTGAAGTTCTGCCCCTTCAAGTCCAGCTCTTCTTTGTTCTGTATTCAAATGATGTAGCTTTCTCTTTCATGCTGTCTGGTCCTGTATGGAAGCAGCCTTTGAAAGCACAGGAGAAATGAACATTCTGCTCTCAGTTCAGATACATGGAACCTGCATGGCTGATGGCAACGTAGAGCTGAAATTGCAAATGAAGTGCTGCTCCAGCTCCAGGGGGAATGTACTTGAGGGAACATTACTCCTGAAATCTAGCATCTCTACTGAGCTTGTACAAATTGCTGTTTTTCAAAGGTTTGCTACTTGGCCAGATTTGAGCAGACACTTGCAGGGATGACAAGATACATTCCAGACAAAGGCCACCCCACCCCAAACTTCTGGACCCTGTCTAAAGCCCTGTGTAAGGCAATAGGGGTTTTTGAAGACAAAGCCAGATTTTTTAACATAAGCAAAATTTTTCTTTAATTGTGTGTTCAGAAAAGGCTGAAATTTTATAATGAAATTAAACTTGAGGCAGACACCTGATGTGAAGCCTTTGATTCATCAGTTAATTTGGCAAAGTTATAAGGAAGTTCATGTAGGGGCTTACAATGGGAATTGTTAGTAGGTAATACCAACTATGCCTTTAATCATTAAGATACAAAGGTAATAAAAGAACAGCTAAAATCTGCTGTAGACATGTTCTTCAACTTGATATTAATCTGGCTCTTGAAGTTTATAGCACACAAATTGGGATGGGTTTTAGCGCTGTACTTAGCTGCAGTATTTGCAAGTGTTTATGATGGACAACAAAAGGGCCTAAGCTGGTGCTGGCATCTGGGCTTGACTTGGGGACTGTGCCAGATGAAGAGGAGGTTTGTATGGATGGTAAATAGCTCAGCCACCAAAATACTCAAATTCTTATTCTTCAAAATGCATTAATTTCTAAGCATACTGTTAGACAGGTTTCCTTTTCTGTCCCTACCATTTTGAATTTGGGTAAATTTTCATAGCTCTCCTACTTGAACCTGATTCTTTCATTCAAGTCAAAGCAGACTCTTATCAAGGATTCTACAAGTATGGTATTTCCAGTGATCAATTTTCAAAATGTCATTACTAGTTCTAAGCACTTCAGTCAAACTTATTAAAGAGAACTTTATCTTTCTGCATGTCCCATTGATGTTGTGGGGTGAATCAGTTAAAATGGTGCTAATAGATCTGTAGCTCATTTTTTGGCTTGTGCCTTTGTGATGGATCCAAGACTAGGACCCCATCTTCCCTTACCCAAAAAACAGTGCAAAAATAGCAGTATCTTCATTTGTTCTCGCCTGCTTTAATCTGTGATGGAGCTTGGCTTTTACTGTTTATCCTTGATTTCTGTATGTATCTTTCATAGCTTTGTTACCCAACTTGTCCCTTTAACTTCTGTAACTGAGGCAGGTTAGACCGAACAGTTTAAGGTATAGATGTTGATTTTCCCCTTCAAGAACTGATTTAAATCAATACTGACTAGTATTATCTGGATAATGACATGACTCTTTAGTTGGTTAATTTGAAAAGCACCTAAGTGATTTAGAAGTCTAATCCGATGTTCAGAAATGCTCGTTATTTTGCAGGCTTTAAAAAATGTTAGCCTTTGTTCAACTGGTAGGAATTATGTAAGGATAAAGGGTAAGTAGTCAGACCAAATTTGCACCTCAGCTAGCACTTTCAATAGAAAGTGTTTTCCAATTTAGGGGAAATAGTGCATAGAAACTCATACTGCAGCTGTTTTCAAGATGAGAGTTCAAATATCTGGGTGAGTAGTGGGTACTTTTAAAACTCTTTACTATTGCCTAAAATATTTTCTTCACTCTAGTACCAAAGGAAATCTGGTTTTGTCCACTCGTGAATACTTACCTCACATGTTGTGAAACAACATATGTATGTTCACTTAACCATTAAATGGTCCAATTTAAGGAAATTGGCTTAGAGCAGCCTTGTTTCTTTATTTCCTTCTTCCCTCTACCCCTACCCATGATTGTTGTAATAGATTTACACTAAGATAATTCAGTCTACTTACAGGAATGTGAGTAAATTACACATCAACCACATTATGCTAGATGAATCTGTCTAGCTCTAGCTAAGTAAAATTGATAATTTTGCTAAGATGATGAAATTACCAAAGTGCTGAATTACCTGCCATGAACTCAGAGGCACAACTAGAGTTTTTTACTAAGGGACGGTCCAATAGCAGTCCAGGATTTGGGGAAGTATGCAGCTGTGTCTGGGGCAATCCTAGAGCTACAGTTCCAGGGAGAGCTGGTGCCTTCTCCTTCTCTCCCATCTTCCCCCTGCTTAGCTGTGAGTCACTGACAGCTTCATTCATAACCACTGGTCCTGGATAATGGAAAAATCTCAGCTGAGGCAGACCAGCCATGATCTGTCTCATGACCTGCTCTGGTAACTATCCACTGGAGCAACTAGGACTAATTGATACTGCCTCCCTGCTAGAAATGAAGTTGAGGAAATGAGACAATTTTTAGAAGCATTTATAGTTAAGTCCCTGTCTTCACTCTTACAGTGGTATAATTAAAGGAAATTCCTTCACTTTTACTATTCTATTTGCATAATTAATCACAAGCATTTTTAAAGGTCTCTTGAGGGCTTCGTTTTAGTTCTAGTTCACTCTGTATGCTAAGGCAAAGTAGAGCTACTAAAGTTGTTCTGTGAGAAACCTACACCTTTCAACTAGAAAATATCAGCTTGGCTAGTAGTGGAGGGGACAGAAGTAAGCAGTCCGGGGCAGAATTACAGTTTTACTATGACTAAGTGCAACATGTTAAAAATTTCCTTATGACTTGTTTGAAGGTAAGAACAGGCTCTGTGCAGCCTATTTCCATCCCTCCTCAACAAGTGTCATCTGTCAATGACGGCAGAGTGTTTGTGTTTTCCTCCCATGTTCTGCCAGCCCCTTAGGAGATGCTGTAAGTGAGCTTTGTCTGTTGCTTAGGTTAGCTCGGACCTCCCTTCTCACCTTTCCTAACCCAAGCTCCTGCCTCAGCCCAGACTCCACACTCTTACCTGTACCAAACTGTTTCCCAACTCTCTCCCAGAGCCTGGAGCTTGTCACCCTACGTCTTCCACACCCAAACTCCCTCCCCTAGCTTAGCCTCTCTGCTGCAACCTGTGCCCCTCTGGGAGGGGGAAACTGGGTCCAAGGAAGCGGGGGGGAGGGGGCGTCTTGCTGGGAATGTGGGGTTTTGGGCCGTGTAATGGTCTGTGGGGTTCCTGGTTAGACAGTGGGCAGCTGTGCTGGGCAGGCCTGGGGCCGCTGTGCCTGTGCTGGCGGGGGCCCCCCCCCCCGGCTGGCGGGCCCCTCCCCCCCCGAAAAAGTTGGAGAGAGAGACCTGTGCCCATGTCCCTCCCCTGTCCCCGGCTCTGCCCTGGGGGAGGGGTTCAGCGCCCTCCCTCCGTCGATTCAGAAACACTCCAGCTAGGTGGCGGGGAGCCCCCCCCCCCAAACAGGGCCAGCTGTGGGGGGAGGGCGGCTAAGGACGGAGACGAGTGTCCGTATCGCACCATGGCCGCCCCCACGGGGCACAGGGCGTGCGGTGGCAGCCGCCGTAAAGCAGCTCCGCCGTGCCCATGTCGCTTTCCGTACAACAGTATGGTGGCCGCCTCTTCCTTCCTTCCGTCCCCGCTCCCCCGGCTGCCAGAAGCCGAGGGAGGCGCGGTGGCCGTAAAGCAGTCCCCGTTTCCCGACGCCTGGCTGTCGCGCGCCCCGGTGCGAATGGCCGCGGAGAGCGGGGCGAGCTGGTGACTGGCGGGCGGGGGAGGGCGGCGCAGCGCTGCCTGCCGGCGTGACGGGGGAGGGTGGGGGCGACATGGATCCCAACAGGATCATCCAGGCCCTCAAGGGCACCATCGACCCCAAGCTGCGCATCGCGGCCGAGAACGAGCTCAACCAGGTGAGGGGGAGGGGCCCGGCCCGTCACCCGCCGCGATGGGGCCCGGGAGCGCGCGCGGGGGGGGGGGGAAGATGCCCCCGCGCCTGCTGCCCCCCAACCCCTGGGCGAGTCTCCGCGCGGACCCGCCAGGCGCGTCCCTCTTCCCCCCCCGCGAGTGTGCGGGCGTCTGGGGCGCCCCCCTGCCCTGTGGCTCGTGGCCCAAGGCCGCGCTGTGGCCGCCAGCCCCCTTCGCTCGGGTCGGGTCAAATGGGGGCGGTGGGAAGGGGCGTCCCCCGAGCTCTGGGCCCCGGCGCTGCTGCTTCTGCAGCCTCGGGCGGCCTGCGAGCGCCGCCCGCTCCTCTCGCTGGACCCCATGGAGCGATAGAGCTTGTGGTGCTCATCTGTCCCGGTGCGGAAAGCCGGGGGGCGGGGCATTGAGAGCTATTCCTCCCTTCACCTGAGCTGCCTGTGTAGCCTGGGCGTCCTACCTGTGCGGGTGGGGGCATCTGTCACTTGCAGCATCTGACAGCTGGTTTCCTAGTTTCTGTTCTGTGGCAGTAAGGGCAGAACCAGCATGGTACTAGACACCAAGTGGATTCTTAACTAGGGGCAGCTCCCACATGGAAAGAATGCTTAAAGGGACTCTCAGCTGAAATTAAACATGGTCTCAGCCTGAAGTGCAATCAGAGTGTTTCCACAATTAACAGCTGTCAGGGAAATCTGATGAGATGTGTTCTGCAAAAGTATTCCCCTGCAGTGTTTGAAAGCTAAGGCAATGATCCTTAGCTGGCTGTGTATAAACAGACTTCTGTGGCACTAAGGAGTTCTGCTGACTCCGCTGGGAGCCTGTGTGGTTCTGGGAGGGGTGGGCAAGCGGGAGTCTGCCCATATGGCACCACTGGCAGGATCAGTGCCTTAACTTTTGTGTGCTTAAAGACACCAGCCAGAATATGTCAAAGTAATGGTTGCACCTGAATTCTTAATTTGGTGATGTTGTACATGTCTATTAGACTCGAAATACATGATTGTGCACTATTTTTCAAGTAATACATATAGGCTACGTCTAGACTGGCATGATTTTCCGGAAATGCTTTTAACAGAAAAGTTTTCCGTTAAAAGCATTTTCGGAAAAGAGCGTCTAGATTGGCACGGACGCTTTTCCGCAAAAGCGCTTTTTGTGGAAAAGCGTCTGTGGCCAATCTAGACGTGCTTTTGCGCAAAAAAGCCCCAATTGCCATTTTCGCGATCAGGGCTTTTTTGCGCAAATGAAATCTCAGCTGTCTACACTGGCCCTTTTGCCCGAACGGGAGCAGCATAGTATTTCCGCAAAAAGCACTGATTTCTTACAGTAGGAAGTCAGTGCTTTTGCGGAAATTCAAGCGGCCAGTGCAGACAGCTGGCAAGCTTTTCCGGAAAAGCGGTTGATTTTCCGGAAAAACTGGCCAGTCTAGACACAGCCATAATGTATATTATATGTACAGGTTACAATGCTCACGTGCCATACACCATTAGACTATACTGTCATGACAAGAATATACAGTTAAGACTATGCCTGCAATCATAATTTTGACACTTGTGAGTTTTGGTTTGTCATATAATCTTAGCATTCTCCTAACATAGGTGTTTTGATGGAATGTAGAAGATTGACATCAGTTTTGAATTTATTTTGAAGAGACCCACCTTTTGGGGTCTTTGCTATGTTAACTAAAATGATTAATAAGGCTTTGCAGGATTCAGGTTCAGTTTACAAATTTGTCCTTATTCTAATTGTCCAAACCTCCAATTTAAAACCGCTCCTGAATTAGTTATTATTTAATACTCTCACTTTTAAAAACCATTACATTCCTATATCATAATGTGGCCACCTGTTTTCTTTTATAATGTCCACTATTTATTTTAAAAACACAAAAACAAATACATCAGTGCTTATTTTATTTTGTCAAAAACAACAGATGGAAACAAAACTGTACTGTAGTAACAAACCTTGGTATGCTTGGCATGGCTAGAGCAAAAGAATGATTGTCTGGATTCCTGGAATTTGTTCCTGACTTTGCCATTGACTTGTTTCACATGCGTTTTATAAAGCTCAAAAGAAAGTTTTGAAGATTGTTGGGATTGTCAGATGACAGATGTGATGACTGCAGATTACTAGTGATATTGTTGTTATGCTGGACTTTGGCTCAGTTTCAAGGTTGGAGCGATACTTGTCAGCTTTTCTTTAAAACATATTCATAAGATTTTTTTCTGGTTTAAAACGTGATTCCTGGAATTGAGAGAACTATGTAATATTTTTGGAGACCCCTTGTTCCTAGAGCGAGTGAGCATTATGAATTTAATTGACACATATCAGGTTCTCTTGTTGTGACATACTAATGCATATAGCACTGGCTTTAACACTAATCCCTGAATGAATTGAACAGAAATTTGCCAGGAGAATGAAAACTGAGAATAATCAGAGTCTAACTGTTTGACATTAATTCTGGTCCTTGAAATTTGGAAACATTTCAGTGTTAATGTCTGGAGCAATGCTTCAGAACCTTGTCAAACTTCAGTAAATCCTATGACAATATTGACCTGGATCAACACACCTTCATATCTCAGACTCCAGATGCATTCATGTCATATGCCAGCGATTATACCAAGAATACACCTCTTTTGGTGACTAATGGCTTGTCTAAATGCAAAAGTTGTACCATATTATATTGTATAATTAAAGCAGTACAGCTCCCTTAGTGTGGTTAGTTACATTGGTATTAAAGTGCTTATACCAGGACTGCTTTTTCCTACCTGGGAAGAGGAACAAGCTATACCAATATTACTGTGTCCACAGTAGAGACTGTACAGGTATAACTATTTCAGTAATAAAATAAAATCAGACGCTTAGTTAAAATGCTTTTGTTGATATAAAACTTTTTTTCTTAATAGAATCTAAGTCACTTTTGGTGAAACTGGCAACCTTTTGTGTATGTAATATTTAATTTAAAAAGAAATGCAAATAAAACAAATAGTCCACACATTCAGTTTTTTTAACCAGCATCTTTTTTTCCTTTAAGAATATTATGTGAATCTTCTAGTATGGTGGTTCCCAACCTTTTTTATACCATGGACCAGCAAACCCATTCACAAACATTTGGTGGACTGGTAACATTTTATTTGCATATTCATTAACCCCTAGATTCCCCCCAACCCTCCACTATCCCCCAGTGCCAGCCACTGACCCCAG